ATTTATTTTTTTAAGCTTTTGTATACCTCGTTTCTTGCTGAACTTTGCTGAACTCGCGGTTAACTGCTTCACGTCCCAAGTCCACCGACTCATGCAGAGAGCTACTGGGCAATCTGGTAACAACACAAAAGCCGTCCGTATGGGGATAAGTGGTCAGCTGGTAGCGTGAAAATTAACAAACACAGTCATAACGCACCGTATCGTTAATTTTAAAGATCTGCCTCTGGCTACATTTTTCGCACTCTCCAGAAATGTGGACAGGGGTACATATCCACAATGAGCCTGTGTTGTTTAATGTACTTCCAACTGAATCTGAATACTTAGTAAGGGCGGAGCTTTTTGTGCAAAATTACACTCATAGCAAACTAGGGCTGTACAATTAATCGAAAATCCGATTTCGATTTGAATTTAAGCTTCTAATGTTTATGAAAAACCATCAATCGAGATAAACGATTATTGCATGATATACCACCCCTTTTCCAGTTTTACACATTTGTTGCTCTTAAAAGCGCGAAAGACCGAGTGCTGCTGCTGTGTGTGTGTGTGGGGTGCGCACACATACAGTCAGAAGCATGCAGTCAGCCTTCAGTCTCATTCGCACTAAGACGAGCAGAGCGCACAAGTCTAAAGTCAATAGGTTTAAGACTAAAGGCACTTTAATGGTCAAATAGGTGTCAAAACGCTGTGTTTAGTGATTATTCATATTAACCCTCATTTGTGTTATAAATAAACGAGTTGAGAATCAAAAGACACATGAAAAAGAAACCATTAAAGTGACAGTGCGCAATATTCCTGCTGCCGCCTGTTTTTATCATTAATCAAACAACTACAGGACAAAATCCCTCATTGCTCTTGACTGAAGGACTTTTGTAGCTAAAGTTTTTTTCTTACAGTGAAGATGCTTAAAGCACAGTTTGTTTCATATTTTTATTCTATTGTTTTATTTCTCTTTCCTTTGCAGAGTGGACAATTACTGTATATATGCAGTTAAAGTCAGAATTATTAGCTCTCCTTAATATTAGCAATCCTTTTCCTCCCCAATTTCTGTTTAATGAAAAGATTTTTTTCTACTTATTTCTGAACATAGTTTTAACCGCTCATTTTTAATAACTGATTTATTTTATTTTTGCTATGATGATAGTAAATAATATTTTACTAGATATTTTTTAAAATACAGGCATTCAGATTTAAAGTGTGATCCAAGGGCTTAATTAAGGTAATTAGGCAAGTCATTGTATAACAGTAGTTTCCTCTGAAGACAGTATATTGCTTAAAGGGCTAATAATATTGACCTTAAAATGGGTTTCAAAATAGTTTAACTTGCTTTTATTCTAGGTAAAATAAAATAAATATGCCTTTATAGAAGAAAAAATATTAGAGGAAATACTGTTAAAATTCCTTGCTTTGTTAAACATAATTTGGAAAATATTTATTTGAAAAAAAATTCTCAGAAGCGCTAATAATTTTGACTTCAACTGATAATCGTTTTGAAAAATCGTGATTACAATTATGACCAAAATAATCGTGAGTATGATTTTTCCCCAAATCAAGCAGCCCTATAGCAAACTAATGGAAACAAGGGGTATGGTTAAAAATAAGTCATCGAATCCTTGAAACTGACATCAACAGAGAAGGTCCGCCACTCTGAGAAGGACCTGTGTTGATTAAAGAGTACCAAAACAAACTTATTTTTTGAGCGGATTAACTTCACGGACTAAATGTAAAAGTAAACTTTAAGAATAACAACATGAGCTAGCAAAATAAACATTGTAAGTTTTAATTTCTCACAGACTTTAAGAAGCAGGTTATAGAATTTTACTAAAGAATTCAACATACATTTGCAACATATCGCAACAACAGCGCAAATGGCACTCGCAAAAGAAATTTGAGGCATCAAAAAGCAAACACACTGTAAAAAAACCCTAATTCTTAAGAAAATATCTTTAAATTTTCTCTGACATTTTTGTTTTTATACAGGGAAATTACAGTATTATTTATACAGCATTTTTTCTGTTATTTGAAATTATATTCAAAGTCCATGAAAAAATTACAAACAATATCTTTAAATGAACAGCTTGACTGTGATTTTATGTACTATATTATTAATGACAAATTACAGTAATTTACGTTTTATACAATAAAATTGGCATATTATTTAGTGTTTTTTCCTGTTTTTTTTAAGTACATTTAAAATAATGTAAAATTAAATTAATAAATTGTAATTGCTTGCTCTGTAAAACAAAATTTAAAAGCGTAAAAAAAATAAAAAAAAAGTTAAAATGACTGGCAGCTACGGCTGCCAAACAAAAACCATAAAATTACAGAAAAATTTCTTTGTTGAAATAAAGTGCAAAAAATAATAAATCTACAGAAATTTTCATTTTAATGTTTACAGAAAAACAGTTATTTTACAGACTTTTCCTAGATTATTACGATCAAATCCGCTCACATGCACCAGTCCAGATTCCGCTGAACGCGCGAGCACACACACACACGCACACAGTCGGAGGATCATTATGAACTGATTGCATGGACTTTAAAAGCAGCACAGATGAACGCACCAATTGCTAAGTCTTGTTATACTGCTACTGTGAACATTATGATGTGTTTCTCTTTTTTTGCCTTGCTTTGTTTGTTAATTGTTTACGTTGTTTGCTGCCGGGACTGACCATTTGCCTGTTATTTGACCATGACTCTGTATTCCTTGCACACATTTGTTTCCCCCTGTGTTGACGGTTGCTTGACCATTTCTGTGTAATAAATCTGCATTTGGATCTACACTTTGTCAGCGTCCACTTCACGTTACAGTTCCATTTCATTTAAGATTTGTAACTGATCCATATAACTTAAACCTCTACATGTATTACATAAATACTATTCAATAAAATGTAACCACTGTAATTTTAAAGCTGTGAGAATTGTAATCAATTATCTCTCGTTTGATGTTTTTTTCCAGACTTTTTTGATCCAAAATAAAACTGTTAAATTACAATCATGAGCATGTCTTGGCATTTTATTAAAGGTGTTTACTCGTAATGATTTAGAAAAAAATCTTTTAAATAACATTGTTTTCTTTTGAACTTTTCATGCAGTCACTTTATTGATGGTGTTCGATCAGAATAATCTAGGAAAAGTCTGTAAAATAACAGTGTTTCTTTGTAAAACTCTTAGTGTGTAACTTTATTGAACGGATTTGATCATAATAATCTAGGAAAAGTCTGTAAAATAACAGTGTTTCTTTGTAAAACTCTTAGTGTGTAACTTTATTGAACGGATTTGATCATAATAATCTAGGAAAAGTCTGTAAAATAACAGTGTTTCTTTGTAAAACTCTTAGTGTGTAACTATTAAACGGATTTGATCATAATAATCTAGGAAAAGTCTGTAAAATAACAGTGTTTCTTTGTAAAACTCTTAGAGTGTAACTTTATTGAACGGATTTGATCATAATAATCTAGGAAAAGTCTGTAAAATAACAGTGTTTCTTTGTAAAACTCTTAGTGTGTAACTTTATTGAACGGATTTGATCATAATAATCTAGGAAAAGTCTGTAAAATAACAGTGTTTCTTTGTAAAACTCTTAGTGTGTAACTATTAAACGGATTTGATCATAATAATCTAGGAAAAGTCTGTAAAATAACAGTGTTTCTTTGTAAAACTCTTAGTGTGTAACTTTATTGAACGGATTTGATCATAATAATTTAGGAAAAGTCTGTAAAATAACAGTGTTTCTTTGTAAAACTCTTAGTGTGTAACTATTAAACGGATTTGATCATAATAATCTAGGAAAAGTCTGTAAAATAACAGTGTTTCTTTGTAAAACTCTTAGTGTGTAACTATTAAACGGATTTGATCATAATAATTTAGGAAAAGTCTGTAAAATAACAGTGTTTCTTTGTAAAACTCTTAGTGTGTAACTATTGAACGGATTTGATCATAATAATCTAGGAAAAGTCTGTAAAATAACAGTGTTTCTTTGTAAAACTCTTAGTGTGTAACTTTATTTAACGGATTTGATCATAATAATCTAGGAAAAGTCTGTAAAATAACAGTGTTTCTTTATAAAACTCTTAGTGTGTAACTTTATTGAACGGATTTGATCATAATAATCTAGGAAAAGTCTGTAAAATAACAGTGTTTCTTTGCAAAACTCTTAGTGTGTAACTTTATTGAACGGATTTGATTGCAATAATTAAGGAAAAGTCTGTAAAATAACAGTGTTTCTTTGCAAAACTCTTAGTGTGTAACTTTATTGAACGGATTTGATTGTAATAATTAAGGAAAAGTCTGTAAAATAACAGTCTTTTTCTGTAAACATTTTATTGAAAATATCTGTAGATTTATTATTTGTTGCACTTTATTTCAACAAAGAAATTTTACCGTAATTTTATGGGTTTTTTTTTGGCAGCCTAAGCTGCCAGTCATTCAACCTTTTTTTTAAAGATTTTTTATTTTTTTTTACAATGCACAACAGCCTCTGGTGGATTTGTGAAACAAAAACTACTGTATAAAAACTTACCTTCTGGGACATATTTGCCGCTCTCCAGAAATGTATATAGCTGTACGTTTTCAGAATGAGCCTGGGTTGGAAGCATTTGTACTTATTTTTAACAGTGAAATGACATTTAAAGTTTCCAAACTGACCATAATGTACAAACATAACACATTGGCTTCATGATTTTTACACATTGGCCCATGCCATATCGAATAAGCTTGAGCGTATTATACTACGCTAAATCACCTGCATCCTGTCTGGTGTTGAATTAATAGGACTGCTGGAACGGCCCCTGGTCACTGCTGCACACTAAATCTGAATGAGAATGTGAATTCCTCTGACATAATCTGACTCTTGCATTATTCATGGAGTGGCAGAAAGACAGACCGAGTAGGAAAGAAAGCTGTGGCACGCAGTGGATCTGCGAAACCCGAGTGCCTCCCCATCCCTTTCATCAACAGATGAGCCCACCTGTTTCCCTCCTCAACCTCTCTCTCGCTCTCACACCATCTCCCTCTCTCTCTTTCTCACCCTCGGTCGTTCTCTCCACTCTGTTGTCTGTTTTCACATCCTGTGGATCTTTTCGATGAGTGAGTTTCTTTCGTGGAGGAGAGAAAGAAGAAGAGGGGGCGGCGTGTATGATGTTGTGTATCTGCATTCTGGCTGCGACTGTGCTTTCCATTCGCACTTAATCTGTCAAGATTTCTCCCCTCCTCGCACATGAGAACGATGCAGAAGTGTACTGGCACTGTTGGGTAGAGAGAGAGAGAGAGAGGGAGAGGGAGAGAGAGAGAGAGCTGTATGTGCTTCAGACTGCGCAGTGATGTCTTGGCAGCTTCAGGAACCAGGCGCATGTTCGTTTCAGTAATCTCCTCTTCTTCCTTTTCCAGGCTTCGGACGAGGAGATGCAGACCATAAGGTAAGGAGCTTTCTTCGTTTTCTGTCCCTCCACCCCTGTCTCTTTTTGCCTTCAATTCGTGATGCTCTTTAAAGCGGGACTGCAGCAGGAAAAACCCTCGTGATGATGTAGGAAGCAGGAGTTGCCCGCGTTCTCCAACACAATTAGGGGGGTTTATATGATCTCCTGCATCTCCAAGAAGGGTCAGTTGTTTTGATTGCGAAAGTGTAATAGTTAAAATGTGTGTTCTAGATTATATGCAAACTGATACATATTGAGTGTTTTCCCATTGAAGACCTGTAGATAAGCCTGATAATCCCCAAAGTGAATGCCACCTTTCTATTGGCTGAGCATGTGTTGTCATCAGATCGTTTTTTTTTTTTTTTTTCCGCCTTATGGCAAAATCCGAGATGGGGCTTTGGAAATTATTTATGAATGTGCTAAGTGTTCACTGCCGCTGCTGTAGATTATATTATAGAACCCATGTGGGGGGGGAAAAAAGGTATGACTCAAGCTCTGTGCGGGAGGCTGGACGGATTTATTGGGGGTTTCCCCTCCTTCACATGCATTATTAATAGATTACAGGGCAAAACAGAAAGGTTTCAAGTCATGTTGATGGATTTCAGGCTGCCTTGGCTTCATGTTGCTGAGAGAAATTACGGATAAATGTGTTTTCAAGGACTCTGTGATAAAAAGGACTTTTATAGTGGATTTTTGTGACTGACTGAAACAGTGGAACATTTATTATTACCTATAACATTTTCTGTTCAAACATGCGTGTCTAGTCTATTTATGATTAAAAACAAATAGACATAATATCTGTTATTGACTTAATCATACATGTGTAATAGGGATGTCCCAAGCGGGTTTTTTTGCCCTTGAGTCATTTGATTTAGAGTATCTACCGATTCTGAAACCCGATCCGATACCTTAATAATACATAAAGAGAGAATAAAGAAGAGCAAGGAAACAAATGCAGGATGTTCCTTATGTTTTAATTTAATTTACCATTTTTTAACATGCAACAACTCTGTTTGTTTGTCGAGTTAAATGTAGTCTTTTTCTTTCCACCTCTTGCAATCTCAAGTTTACATATTTCAGTTTTCTATGGCAATGTTGTCGTCATCAACTTTTTAATACTTCCAGACTGCAGAGGTCTAACTCTACTGCATTATTTTACTGGGGATTTTTTCCGCTGTAAAATTCGTAAAATAACAGGCGTTAAAGACAGATATTTACTGTAAAATAACACATTAAATGATAATTTCTGTAATTTTTTTAATGTCTGTTATTTTACAGTAAATTTCTGTAATTTAATGTCTGTTATTTTGTGGTAAATTTCTGTAATTTAATGTGTGTTATTTTATGGTAAATTTCTGTAGTTTAGTGTCTGTTATTTTACAGTAAGTTTCTGTAATTTAATGTTTGTTATTTTATGGTTACTATCTGTAATTTAATGTCTGTTATTTTACGATAAACTTCTGTAATTTAATGTAATTTAATGTCTGTTATTTTACGATAAACTTCTGTAATTTAATGTCTGTTATTTTACAGTAAATTTCAGTAATGTAACGTTCGTTATTTTACGGTAAATTTATGTAATTTTTAAATGTCTTTTATTTTACAGTAAATTTCTGTGATTTTACATCCATTACTTTATGGCAAATTTATGTAATTTAATGTCTATTATTTACGATAAATTTATGTAAATTAATATCTGTTATTTTACTGTAAGTTTCTGTATTTTAACGTTTGTTATTTTATGGTAAATTTCTGTAATTTAACATCCGTTATTTTATGATTAATTTCTGTAATTTCACGGGTGTTATATTACGGTAAATTTCTGTAATTAACGTTTGTTATTTTATGGTAAATTTCTGTAATTTTGCAACCATTATTTTACAGTAAATTTTTGTAATAGCACAACCGTTATTTTACTTTTTTCCAGCATTCCAGCTTTTGGAAAAAAAAACTTAATCGGGAGGTAACGTCCACTTCAAATCAAGTCTGAAACTGCATGTTCCTATCACGTGATCGCATCTGGATATCCCTAATGTGGAACTATATTAAATGCAGTATGTAGTGTGAAATCTACTAGATGTTTTGAATTTAATAATGCTCCAAAAATAAATCTGTCATTTTAATTGATTATATGTGAAGGGATTGGTGGATACTTTTTTAATAATAGTGCCATAGCTGCTGCATTCCCAGCAAGCATTTTTTTGTTTTTAAAAGATGTTTAATTAATGTCTAATAGACGTCTAAACACAGTAGTTTTGGCTAAAACAAGGCTAAATTTGGGATGTCAGGCAAAATTAAATAGATGTCTAGGAATAGGCCAAAACTAGACTAGTCATCAAATAAACAGAAATTAATGACTACACATATAAAGTCTGTCTAATCTGTCTATTTGACGACTTGCAGATGTCTGTTAGATTTTCACCGACGGCCCAAGTTTAGCCTTGTTTTAGCCAAGCTGTCTATGTTTAGAAGTCTATAAGACATATTTTAAACACAAAATTATTTGCTGGGTTGTGTGGTATAAGCATATGCAAACTACAGTCTGAATCGTTAGGTCAGCAGTGATGCTGCAAAGGTGATGCGTGAGGTGCTGATGAACAAAATATGCAAACATAAGGTGAAACACCAATTATGCTTCCAATTTATTGCAAACTGCCAGCGTGGCCTTGACCTCTCGGTGCAGCAAATCTGATGTAACATGCTGAAATCACGTCTTCTTGGTGCTTTTCTCTTCTTCCGCACAGAAAAATGCACTTCGGGTGCATTCATGTTAATTTTATGGATTATATTTCAAAGGACAGGAAGCAGCTTTTGTGCAAGTAAACGCATTATTTTATTTGTTTAAAAATAAATTCAGAATAAGTGTAAAAGATAAGGATTTTCTCATTATTAATTAAATGTGTTGGGGTAGTTCACCGAAAAATTAAAATTTTGTCATTGTTTACTCACTGTTCACTTGTTTAAAACCTCTTTCGAGATCCTTCCATCTGTTAAACACACACAAAAAGATTTTTTTTTTATTCTTGAAATTTTTATTCTTGCAAATAGCATTTTACATTTTAGAACAACCCACTAAACAATCCCCAAATAAAACAATCAACATCTGCAAATGAATAAATAAATAAATGAATAAAATAAACAAAATAATAATTAATAAAATAAATACAAATACAGAAAGAAATATATAATAACAAACCAGATACATACACACATATATCTTCACACCTAAGGTTTTTAAGTGATTAAAGAATACAATAAATTGTTGCCATTTTTCAAAAAAACTGTTCTCCCCCACCTCTGATATTGTATTTAATTTTCTCAAGTTTTTAAAAGAAGACCAAATCTTTGAGCCACAATGAAATAGAGGGGGGTTGTGGGGAGGTCCAAGAAAACAGTATTCTGCGTCTAGCGAGAAGAGATGCAAAAGCCACAATGTCAGTGTGTCTCCGGTTTAAAGGTTGACACTGAGAGGTAACACCAAACGATCGCGATTAAAGGGCAAACAGCTAACTTGACCCCCAGAACATCAGAAACAATTTTAAAGAAAGTAATCCAATAATTTTGCAATTTGAACAAAACAAATGACTAAGGTTACATGGTGAAAGTTTACATTTATCGCACATATCTGAAATATTGAGATACATTTTGGAAAGTTTGGCTTTTGAGAGATGAGTTCTGGTGAGATGAGTCTAGCGCATGAAATGGAGGCGCACATTGTCCAATACTGCACTCCAGTAGTCATCTTCAAACTCTAAGTCAAGTTCCTCTTCCCAGGCCCTGATATTCCCAGTTTTAATGTTATGAGAATTATCCTTTGACAAAATAGATGCGAATATTTTAGAAATGATCCCTCTCTTAAGAGCATTTAGTTTAAATACCTCTCTTCCCATGGAGACTTTGTAGGCAGGGAGGGAAACTCAGAGAACAGAGAGGAAGCACAATGTCTAATCTGAAAATAACAAAATAAGTAGGAGGGGTGCAGATTAAATAATGATGATAATTCAGAGAAATTTACAAACACATTGTTAATATAAAGATCTTCAAAGCATTTCAGACCTTTCTTTTCCCAAAAAGAGAATACAGAATCTGAGAAAGGAGGAAGAAAAAGATCATTATCATGTAAAGGAGCCATAGTCGATGCAGAGGTACATTTAAAGTGACACCGAAGTTGACAAAAAGATATTTTGAAATATTTTGACTTCCATTGTATTATTTAGTCTTTTTATGACAGTAGTTACTTATTCAGCATTCTTCAAAATATCATCTTTCGTGTTCAACTGAAGTAACAATAAAACCACATGAGGGAGAACAAACGATGAGGTAGTTTAAAATTTTTGGGTGTACTTGTCCCTTTAAGTAAAACTAAAAAAAAAAAAAAAAAAAAAAAAAAATATATATATATATATATATATATATATATATATATATATATATATATATATATATATATTCATCAACAAATGTAGTCCCGAAATTCACATTATCACAACACATATAGATGTTCACTGTGGTTATTTTGCAATTATGGTTCTCATTAGATTCTCATTAGTGTTTTAAAGCAATGAAATTCATGGTCACAATCTTTCTTTAATATAAATTAGTGCTGGTAAAATGTATTCTTCCATTATCTTTCTTCTTTTTTGTTGTTGTTGATTTGAGTGTAAAATAATTTATAAAAATAAAGAATTTAATGTCATCAATTTCAAATTAGATAATATTGTAGTTGTGCAATATGACTAATATGAATACTATATGAATAATGGTTGCTGACACCATTTAATAGTATTAATGCAGCAAAAAGTGACTTCTGTTTATCCAAACGCACAGCTGGTCTGCAAAATATCCCCAGACTGTTTGTTTCAGCTAATGTTTTTTTTTTTTTTTTTGTGTATTTCCTTCAATAGTTGAACCATATCTGCAATGACAAGGCTGAAAACAGTCTGTGTTTCAACCTTGGTCTCTGATGTTCTGTCTGTTCTGAATAATCGTTTATTATAACA